ACAGAGCCCCCCGGCCCCAGCCAGCACGTCTGTTCCTGCAGTAGCCACCAGGATTGGGCGGCACCCCACCAAAAGCAGGGTCGGGTGGGCATGTGGGATTCCGCAGCCCCCCTCGGGGGGGGGGGGAGAAGGAAGAAGGAGATTTTGCAGCACAGGGCGTCGGACACGAGGATGTTGGCAGCCCGCAGGTCGCGGTGGATGTAGTTCTTGGCCTCGATGAAGGCCATGCCTTCGGCGATCTGCGGTTTGGAGGAATTGCCATCGATAGCTGCCAGCCCGAGCGGGGCAGCCCCGGCTCCAGCCCCGGCAGAGCCCTGCCCGCCGGCAGCCCCGCGGCTCTGTCCCCCCTTCACCTGCGCGGCCATGTCCAGCAGTTTGTTGATGCTGAGCTTGACTCCTTCCGAGGTCTTGAGGAAGTCCACGAGGCTGCCTGCAGCGAAGGCAGCAGGTCTCAGCGGCAGGCGTGCGCGCTGCCTCCCCTCCCCGCGGTGCCCGTTGGGGCTGGGTGTTGCGGCAGTGGGTTCACTGGGGCGCCGTCCCCCGGTGCAACACCGAAGGCTGAGCTAGCCAGAGCGAAAAAAAGGTGTGGCGGCAGTGGGTTCACCGGGGCGCCGTCCCCCGGTGCAACACCAAAGGTGGGGCAAGGCAGCTCGCAGCCCCCGGAAAGGCAGGCAGGAGTGGATGGGCAGGAGACCACCCTTGCCTGCAATGTCCTTTTCCCCCCCTGCCAGGGCTGACCCCCGAGCTCCCGGCCGGTGGGAGAGCCGTGATGCAAAGGCAGAGTGCGGGGAGGCGAAGGGTGCTGAAAGCAGCTCAATAAACGAAAGCCAGCACCGACCGCTGGATGGGAACAGCCGAGAGCCGAAGGGACCACGGCTCTTCACGGCCCCCAGCCACCCCCACCCGTGGCGGGCAGCGCCCGGGTGCCCTCACCCTTCTCCATGTACTCCGTGATGATGTAGATGGGCTCCTTCGTCACCACGGCGTAGAGCCGCACCAGCCGGGGGTGCTGCAGGTTCTTCATGAGGTTGGCCTCCGCCAGGAAGGCGCTGGGTGACATGCTGCCCTGCTTCAGGTTTTTGATGGCCACCTTGGTGTGGCCATTGTAGAAGCCTGCGGAGAGGTGGGGCAGAGCGTGACGAGGCAGAGGGACCCCGTGGCCGGTCATGGCCGGGGGACGCGTGGCAATAGCGGTGCCGGTGGAGGAGGCAAACGTGGGGACTACTCTGTGGATGTAGAGCATCCCAACCCGAGACTGCACAAGCAAGAGATGTCAGAGATTGCAAAGGTTGGCTGAAGACCCAAGCCCAGAGGCAGCGAAGGCTGGTGAGGGACGCCCCCGACCCGGAGGACAGTTGCAGCAGGGCCGGAGGACTTTCGGGGATGATCACAGCTCTGTGCTGGCCACCTCCTGGGCAAAAATCTGTAACCACATTTTAACCCACCAGGCAGATACTTTCACCTGTGGCTTTCAGCCACCAGGAGGAAAGGAAGCTGTTGGTTGCTGGGCTTTGAACAGGAGGGGCAGCCGGGGGAGCTGGGCAGCGATGCTGAAGCCCGGCTCCTGCTGGGTACCCGGAGGGGACTTTGGGGGACGGCCAGCACCCGCGGGAGCGAAGGCAGGGACCCCGCTCCGGGGCTGCGGGGCAGGATGGAGGGGAGCGGGGCAGCCCCAGTGCCTTCCCCACCGCGGCACCCGGGGAGCGGGAGGTGCTTTTGTGGCTGGGTCGCAGCACGCTCGAGGCCCCGCGCTGCCTCCAAGCCCCCAGCTGCTCCCAGCGTCGTAGCGACGGCCACAACAAGGGCCGTTTCCCGTGCGGGGCCACGCACGGTCCTCGCCGGGCCCCACGCCAAAGCCGGCAGCTGCTCTCACAGTGAGCAGAGCCCAGCTCGACGAGGACACGGTGCAGCCCCCACGCACGCACGCCTGCACCAGTGCGCCCGTCCTGGCAGCGGGTGCCTGCTCGGGTAGTGGTGCGGGGGTCCGGGTGGCCAGGGATGGGAGAGGGAGGAAGCTTGGGCTGCTCTGGGTAAACCAGAGCTGCCCCTGGGCTGCTCTAGCTGCTGGTTTTCTTCCTTCTTCCAGGGCCCTTGTAAAAAGCCGAGGTCCCACCCTTGGGGCTGTGGTGGCTGCTCCATGTGAGACCCCGGCCGGACCCCTCCCTGGCCCGAGGGTGCCGTGGGGCCCAGCAGACGCTGCCCACACTGGTGCCCTCATCCGGGAGGAAGCACCCCGGTTTCACCCTGACTCACCCATCCAGACTTCTCCAAACTGCCCCGCTCCCAGCTTCTCCACCAGCTTCAGCGACTCCCGCGGCACCTCCCACTCGTCCTGCCACCACGGCTTCTGCGGCTCCTGGGTCCGGCAGGGCTTGCCGAGACGGGTGCACAGCCCGTCGGAGCTGCCTGCGACGCAGGGGCAGGCAGAGCCAGCGTCAATGCAGGCAGAGGGCACGGGTCGCCCAGCACAAGCTAATGCCTTTGCTGGGGCGCAGGTAGCAGCGTGTTCTGCTCGTCCCATCCCGTCCCGTCCCATCCCCAACCCATTCCATCCCCATCCCCATCCCGTGCCCTGCCTGCAGGCAGGACCAGCCCCTGGACCACTTGTTCCCCCCAGCCCCTTGGACAGGGCGTACGTGTGTAATACTCCACCAGCTCGTGCAAGCTGCTGAAGGTGACGCGGGGGGAGATGTAGTACCCCCCGTTGTCCATGTTGCGGATCTTGTAGTGCTTCACCGTCTCACCCTGGTTCTGGTCGAAGTCCCTCACCGACAGTGAGTAGGAGCCTGAGGAGACGGGGGACCATGTGGGTGTGGGACCCCAACGCTCCTCCTGTGCTTCCCAGCACCTTTCCCAGTGTCCGCAGCAGGAGATGCCGGCAGGACCCACGGGACGGTACCTTTGGAGGTCTCGCTCTCCCGGATGAGGAAGGAGCCGTGCGTGTTGCCCGACGCCAGGAGCTGCCGCTCCGCATCCTTGCGGCCGATGTTTTTGAAGAACCACCTGGGGACACGGGGCAGGGTGATGGCTGGGGGGGGGGGGGGC